CACGACTGAAGTAAATCTGAATATTCAGACATTTAAAAATCTCTTGCTCTAGAAATTGAATTTGATGCAAAAAATGCTTCCTCCCAGTACTCACAGAATGGCGGAATGAAATTATGATGCCTAAATCTTGCAAATAACCTAAGAAATCTCGAGATCGGAAACCGTTAGCAGAAATAGAGTTCAGCTTTATTTCCCTGATCAGGAACGTTCGGAGAAAGTCACATCGTTACTTTTGGCTAGCGCTATTTGCAACGCCGTGTTCTGAACTGCTCCTGTGCTATAAATTGAAACGCCGCACTCTGAATAGCTCCCATGTTATTTGAAACGCCAGTAGGCCTACAAGAATCTAGATCTAGATCTCGTAGCCATCGTTTCTACATGATAATATACAAGTTGTGCCTGAATTGTGGAAGCTTTCTCAGTTTCTTGATATAAACCTCCTAGGATTTGACTCCTTTTTTATGACGTCTTATGCCGATCAATATTGGGTAGATCTGGAACTAGATCTAGATAGACGTAGTCTTGTTCATCTCTCATAATCACAATCATTTGAGTTTTGAGTTTGAGCAAGTAAGTTGAAGGAGGCTTCAATTTAACAATAAGAAGACGGTGCAACTTGGTATGAAGCAGTATTTCTGTCCGCAGTGTCGTCATACAATAGATTCTAGATCTACCTAAAAATATTATCTTTAAGTTAGGCCTAGAGAATATATACAAGCTGTCTACGTTCGCTAGGCCCAAGTCTAATGTTCAGTGCTTCCAAGTGCGGCATCGAATCCCGGTCCTAGAAGGGGTTTTTTTTCTTCTCCGGAGCCTAAAATTTAAAAATAAAAAAATAATAATTAGACTCACAGACCAAGGAAAGCCACTATTGAACCAGGCCTAAATCGGTAAAAGGAAAAGCATACTAAAGCCTACTTGGTACAGAGCTCCTCTTGGGTCTTGGGGACAAAACCAGGATGTGCATGCTTCACCACTACATTAAAAAAAACTAGCCTACAAAGCAAGAAGTTATAATTATGGGGAAAATTTGTTGGTCAGTCGAGAAGAGGACCCAAAAAAAAAAGAAAAGAGGATCGGGATCGAACCCACACTCATAAAATAAAGGTTTGGCCTTGGCTTCGAACGCAGACACGCTGTCACTTCGGCCATCAGAACTACTTCCGTTAACGAAAGGTAGATTAAGCTTCACAGCCTAGGCTAACACACGGCGTTTTATTTAGCACTGGCACTAATTACTAATTGCAACGC